TAAGTCAGACTTTGAGTTGGATCGACCATCGATATCAATAACTTGTCTCAGAAACGTAAGTGAAACTTGCGCGTAGATAGAATATTGATTGATTGTTCATAGAACTGTAATGCTTCCATTGAAAATGCGCAACTAGAAACTACATCATCGACGTAAATGTCATGTTGTAGAACTTGGGCTGTCGATTTTGAAGAGTGTTCATTCGTTAAATGCTTGATGGCTGCATTCAATATGAAGGGTGAACATGCAGCGCCGAATAGAACTGACTTGAACTGGAAGGTTTCAAAGGGGCTATTAATATTGGTTGAGTCCGTTAACCATAGAAATTTAGTGTATTTCCGGTCGGCTTCATGTAGACTAATTTGTAAGAAAGCCTTTTCAATATCTGCGGTTAATGCTATGGGTGTGCTCGAAATCTCAGTAGTATAGACGTTAATGAATTGAGAAGTGGGGGTCCTGTATCTAAACACTGATCGAGGCTGGGCTGGTCCTTGCCAGTAGTTGCTGAACAGTCGTACACTATTCTATTTGAGTAGACTCGCTGTCCTTCTTGACTGAGCGATGAGGTAAGTAGTGCCCGATATCTGTACTATCATTGGTGACTCTCTCAAAAAAACCTCTATGCAACTGATCATTGATAATGTTGTTGTAAACTTTGACAAGTTTGTCTGGTAGCTTGGCAATCATTTTCCTGGTGCGAGTATTTGCTGCTTGATAGTTGGTATGTAAGGTAAGGTGATCCGGTTTCCAAGGTAATTTCGCTGTGTATCTTCCATCTTTGGTGGTGAGGCAATGATCAATATATTGTGTGTATTGTTAGTCCCCGTTCGGACGCAGTCCGAAAACGGGGACTTATGTTTTGCCCTGTGTGTGTCCGTGCGTCCGTGATCACCTGTATCTCGAACATGCATGGACCGATTAAGTTCAAACTTCACTCATACATCACACATTATATGGGAAATATGCACATGCATTTTTTTCATGATCTGATTAACGATAGCC